CAGAAGTTATGGCTCGCTTTGCTGCCGGGCTGGCCGCGCAGGGCCGACGGGTGGTGCTGGTCACGTCCGGCGGAACCAAGGTCCCCTTGGAAGCCCGGCCAGTGCGCTTCCTGGACAACTTCAGCAGCGGGCGGCGCGGCGCTGCCTCGGCGGAGGCCTTCCTGGCCGCGGGCTACGGGGTCCTGTTCCTGTACCGCGCTCGCTCCGCCTTCCCCTTTGCCCACCGCTTCCCGCCTCAGAGCTGGCTGTCGGCGCTGCGGCCGTCGGGACGAGCCTCCTTGGGCTTGCTGAGTCTGGAGGCGGAAGAGAAGGCACTCCCGGGCTTCGCTGCAGCTCTGCGGAGCTACCAGGAAGCTGAGGCTGCCGGCACCTTCCTGGCTGTAGAGTTCGCCACTTTGGCAGACTATTTGCATCTGCTGCAGGCTGCAGCCCAGGCGCTCAGTCCTCTAGGTGCGTGCCCTTAGGAGTCCATCAGATGCTCGGGGGCAGAGTCTTTCCCCTCAAACACAGGTCCCCTTACCCTCCTCGTCACCGGCAGCTCTCACAACCGGGGAACCTGTGTTGAAAAGGAGCTGACCCTATACCCCTCTCCGATTTATTACACCTTGTGCTTCTCTTTGCAGGCTCTTCTGCGATGTTTTACCTGGCTGCGGCCGTGTCAGATTTCTATGTTCCTGTCTCTGAAATGCCTGAACACAAGATCCAGTCATCTGGGGGCCCACTGCAGGTGATGGGCGCGTCTCTTCCAGAGATCTGATTTCCTATAACCGATCTTGGGTTAATTTCCTTTTGATCTGGAGATGGCCTTTCTGCTTTCCGTACGTGCTAGGCACTAGGGATACAGAGATGAATAAGACACCGCCCTCCCTCAAGGAACTCACAATCTAGTGAGGTTGCTGGACACAGACATAATTACAGTGCAGAGTGATAAATGCTCTAGTAGAGGTACGTACAAAGTGAAGTCAGAGCATGGGATGAGTGAATCTTGGGGAAAGGCAAGGAAGGCTTTCTGGAGGAGATGACTTGAACTGAATTTTAAAAGATGAGCAGAGGGAATACCAGAAAGTAGGGAAGGTCATTCCAGACAGAGTACACAATTGGAGTTTGTAAACGGACAGTATGCTGTGAACAGAAGTTGTTTGGTAAGGCTACAGAGCCGGGAGAGTGGTGGGGGTGGAGGGCAGACAGAAGAGACAGCTTACTTCGTGGAAGACTTTGTATTCCTTCTTAAGGAATTTGGACTGTATCCTGTGGAGCCAAGGGAAACCCAAGTAAGAGAATGAGATGAACTTTTTGTCTGAGACATTCTGGCATCAGTATGAAAGGTGAATTAGAGACAAAGAGTGGTAGGGGTAGATTAGATGGTGGTTATTATTGCAGCTTAAGGAATAGGTATGGGGAGGGTGGTGGTGCGGTTGAGATGTTGAGATGCTCTGGTTTCTTGGAACCTGGGGGAATTCTTCATCATTTATTGGGTGATACAAGTAGATTTGAAGTAGGAGAAACTACCTGTGGGGCACTTGCTCCCTTTGTAGGAAAGTTCATTTGTTCACTTCTTCAACAAATATTTTTTGAGTACCTACTATATGCCAGGCACTATTCTAGAACCTGGAGATACAGCAGTGAATAGAAACATATTGTGCCCTTGTTTTGCTTAGACTCTGCAGAGGAGACTGTAAATAAGTCAAGTGCATACTATGTTAGGTAATGATAAATGCTAAGGAGAAAGATAATGTGGGGAATGGGTGTCTGATCCCTGTCACATTTGCTAACTCTTAGAGGGGAAATCCTAACAGTTAGCTTAGTGATTTCATGCTTTTAAAATTCTAGGAGCTTTAGTTTATCCTGTAATTTTTAGTTCTGTCTTGAAAGTACACAAAACAACTCAACATTCCCCTTAGAAGGGATTGAGAATGATACAGTCGTTTTGATGGATGAAAATAAAACCAGTTCTGTTTCCTCAATGCTGAGATATCATATGAGACAATTTTTAAAGGGAGTCAAATAGCCATTCTACCAATAGAGGAAATATTTTAGGCTGAGAGGTTTAGCAACTCCACCTTCTGCCAAAGTAACATTGGCATAAATAGATTATTTGCATTTGTTCATTTGAGAGTTTGGTTTAAAAAATAAAAGTGAATGTTTGTGAGTGTATTGCTGTTCTTTATAGAGTTCTGTTAATGGTGATGAGGGTGGCAGAGCAGGGCTAATTCATAAAGCATGGTTTGCTCCAGAATATGTATGAAGCCTTGAAATCAGGCGTCTTTATGAACCCTACAGAGGCAAGGATTTTAAGTAAGCATTTAATATGCTTTGAAAAAATCTGACAGTGAGAAATCCCACTTAAATTGATACAGCCAAAAATTGAAGTCCCTGCTTCCTTAGTTTCCCATGAGATTGATCTGATAGGTAATGACCTTGTTTGCTTATTAAGCTTTTCTTTTTCCAATACAGATAACGATGAAGATGGTGCCAAAAATGCTTTCTCCTTTGGTTAAAGACTGGGCTCCCAAAGCATTTATAATTTCCTTTAAGTTGGAGACTGATCCCTCCATCGTAATTGACCGTGCACGGAATGCTTTGGAAATTTATCGACATCAAGTGGTGGTGGCTAACATCCTTGAGTCACGACGGTCCTTTGTGGTTATTATAACCAAAGACTCAGAAACCAAGTTATTGCTATCGGAGGAAGAGGTAGAAAAAGGCATAGAGATAGAAGAGAAGATAGTGGATGATCTTCAGTCTCGACATACAGCTTTTATACATGACAAAAACTGAAGTAAAAAGCCTTATTTATAGGATCAAAAATTATTCAGTGGACCAGAGCTCTTACAGATGATGAGAACTAGAATAAATCCTTTGCTTTCATAAAGACCAAGAAAATGAAGGGGGAAAGCAGTGAATGGTATACAGGCAAATGGCTTAGTATTTGCCTTTTAAAGATCATTTCATACTCATAAAAAATGAAAACAAAGGCAAAGTAATTATGACCAAACCACCCAACACACTCACCTGAATGTTATCTTGGTTTTGAAAGTGAACTTGAGCTGTTTCTCACCTTTTAAAAAAAAGAGCTTATTGGGAATTATATTCCTCAAGACACACGTTTGGGGCCTGAATATCAATCTTCACACTGTAAGAAGGATGGATGCATGAATGGCCATGCTTTGAGGATCAGATATTTGTTGATGCCTACTATGTGGTAGGCCCTGAGGATTCTGAGAATTAAAAAGATGAATAAACATACCTAGTTTGGGAAATGGATATATAAAAAATTAAGTGCAATAAAGTATGTGCTCTAAAGCCAACAAGATGGAAAAGATGGTTTTTTTTGGGGAAATTTATTAAAGATGGAAGTAGGAGAGGACACCTCCCCCAAAGACAGACCGCCTGTAGAATGATGAACTGCCCACTACATTTACTTTTTGCTTTTTGTCCTAGATTCACTCCATATTTGAGTTAAGAATTTACCTTTCAAATCTTGTAGAACTGCTCTTGAGGGTAAGTTAACCCCCACTTTCACCTCGGGCCAGGCAGGGGCCAGTTGGTGACCACTGCCCTGAGAGAGGCATTAGAGAGCATGGGTAGAGCATGGGTTTTGGAGCCATCTTACTAGCCAAGTGTTAGCTTTGTAAACTCAGACACCTGACTTAATTACAATTTCCTCAGCTATAAAATGGTGATAATAAGTCTCTGAAAAATAATGCCATTTGTTACAAGGATTAAAGCAGTGGAGATAAAGCATTAGTCTGGCACCTGGCACATAATTTACACTCAATAAATGGTTGCAATTGCTGTTTTTCTCATTTAGCGAGGCAGTGTTATGTGGGTGCCCTGCTTGATTCCTGAATCCTTGGAAAGTTTTCAAACCTCTGACTGTCTTGGACTTTGGGTCTGGAGTGCAACAGAAGTGTAGTTCAGAGAAATACCCTAAATGATCCATAGGTTGATACACAGAGTGCAGTGGTTAAAAATTGTCATTAAAAACTAGGTGAAGCAAGTAGTCTACCTAACAAATATTTGAGTTAAAATGCAGTTTATGAATTGAATTGGGAAGGATAGCCCAACATGTCTGATAATAGAAGTACGATAGACTTGAAAAGATTTGAACTGAAGTGCTGAGATACACCTAAGTACTTCATTAAATCAGGAAGCTGAGGGAAAGTAAGTGCAGCAGTCAGGACTGCTCTGGAAGCAGCAATCCCAGTGAACAGAAACTTTAAATTCTTGGCCAATTGGCAAAACCTAAAAAGCAGCAGGCTCTGTCAGCAGTGGCTGCAGTACTGAAGGGGCAGGAAATAAAAGATTGACTGTCTTCCCTACATGTATAGCTTCATGTGCATGATGACTTACTATTTTTGAATGTACAATGAGGATAAATTGAGGGTTTTTTTTTTTTACCATAATTATTACTTCCCTTGGGAACCTTTTCCTACCCTATTTCTTAATGCTTAAAAACAACCACGACTACCTTAAATGGAATTATTTGAAGTGTTTTCCAGTTCAGTTTCCTTTACATTCAGAGTATGTAAACGGTACTTACACATATAAAAATTCCAAGAGGTGGTTTTTGTTTGTTTAATCAGCGAGTGTAAGTGTGTAAAGAAACAGAATGAAAAGGAACATAAATAAGTCAATGAGAGCAAATAAGGAACTTGATCTAGATCAGAGGACCGAGGAACGTAATTTGGAGGAAATGATGCTTGAACTGCTAAGTAGAAATTAAGTGGGCTGGAGGTGATGGTGTTGAGCAATTTAGATCAGAGGGAAAAAAACTTGCAAGAGCTCTGGTGCCAGAGGAAGAGGTTCAAGCACTTTTAGACAGTAAAGGATAAGGCCTACCCAGATAATGCATGTAGAACCGGCAAAGCTTGGGAAAGAATCCTGTATGAACCTAGAATCAGACTAAGAAATGTCAGGTATGTGTGTGGGATACCAGCAAAGCAGGGGCCCCAAAACTTGAGTAAAATCGAGTTTTGATGAACTAACTAGAATCTTGCAATAAGAGCACTTAAATGAAGATGATATAAACCGAGCCTATGTTAAATTTTGTGTCATTTAGGTATTTTTATTTTGCATTACATGGGTGGAGGATACGGTTCGCCGAAACCTAATTTTCAGTGCTTAGGACTTCTAAAGGGCTTCAGCTTAAGGGTTAATTCTAGTCATGTCCGGTTTCTTCATTTTTAAAATAATAATCCAGGTCCAAAAGTGTTGTGATTTGTCTTGGGTGCCCCTGGTAATTAGTGACAGGTCCTGATCCAAAATTCAGAACTACTGACCTCGCACCCTCTCCCTTTTAAGAGTGAAGTTACTTCTAGAAAAATAAATCCAAGTTTATTAGACCTGGGCTCTAGGTAAGACTTGGCGGGAAGGTATTTGAGAACTATAAATGCCCTGTGAGAAAACTTAGTTGCAAATCCGCGCTCTGACGTCGCCGTGATTACTGCGGAGCCAATGGACTGAGTCGTACCTTCGTTCCGCCGGGGTTAGCCAGAGGCCAATGATGTGCACCCTAACAACAGTCTCCGCAGGAAGCACAGCCCCTGAGCCAATGGCGCGCGTCGTTTCTATGGTTCCCGCCGGAAGGACGCCTTGGCGGCGAGCGCGGTTGCTATGACGCCCGGGACCCGGGCAGCACCTGCCGCTCGCGGGCCGCGGGACCTTCGTCGCACTCTGCAAAGGACAGTTTCCGGCCTGGTTGCTGAGGGTCCCGCCGCCGCCGCCGCCCCCCACGGTGGAAAGCACCTATTCTCCGCTCTTTTTCAGCATTCCAGGTCTTTCCCGCTTCTCTGCCCAGTATGGCCCGAAACGGCAGGAGAAGAGCCTCTCCTGACTCGACCGCGGGCTGAAAGAAGGATTCTGTGTGAGGATGGATTCGCGACTTCCCGGGACCCACCCGCCTCAGGCATTTAAAGTTCGCCTGCCGCTCTTATTTAAAGAGGGCTTACTTAGAACACCCTCGTCTTTTAGGCAGGCGTTCCTTTTCTCACTTTCCAGGCGAAGACTCACGCCTGCACAGAGACTGCGCCTGAAGGTGCAGGCCATGACAAAGTACACCGAGCCACGGCTTCCCCTGGTTGTCCGCCCGTGAACAAAGAACTGCTGTTTTCTCCTTTTTGCAGAACTTTATTTCCCAAAGAAGCTCTGGAGGCCTTTTGTATCCTCAACAGCAGGCGTCATCAAGTCAGTGACCTTCTGCCTTTCAGCCTACAACCTCATCCACCTCTCTCACCACCCTGAGCGCCAGTTTTCTCACCCTGCTCATTCCACAGCCATCTCATGCTGTCTTGTCCACACTGCACATTCCTGAATGTCCATTCGTCTCCACCACCTCTGTCATCTCTAGACCACCTCCTTCTTCTTTCCTGCTACAATGCTTTGGGTAGCTAAATATTTCATCTTCTCCAGCCCTGGACTCATTTGGAAGATTTTCTCTGTTCCTCTGCACTATGGCAAGCTTTCTGTCTTGGGGATACTAGAGACGAGAATGGAGAAGCGTGCATTGGTAAATACAAACAGTAAATTTCTACACGCTAGTGTGTTTTGAAAATGGAGGGGGGAAAATCGAAATACATCTTTGGGCTTATCTCAGTCTTATATAAAGAAAGAAGATTGTTCCTTGCTTAAATGAATACTGTGTTAGGCATACATTTTAGTGATGTGTTCGTGTATGTGAAAAGATCATTCAGAATGATGGTGTAACATGATTTAAACTTTTAAGTCCACACGAACGCAACACCGTGATACGATAGAATTTTCTTGAAAAGAGATGCTTAAAACAGTTCTTGTGCTTCCTCTTCATGTCAGTTTCTTAATTAGAAAACATTCTTTGTGATGTGAGTCAAAAAACAAACAAAAACAGGAGGAATGATTGAAAATAAATATTTTTGGCAAAGGGGCAGGCTTAATGGTCCTAAAAAGACTGAAACAGAGAGCCTTAAAAATAGCGTAAGATTTATTTAGATCCAGTGCAATTGTATTTTAGCTTGGAAAACTTTAAATTGCCTTAAAGTATGTGTTCCTCCTTGAGTCATACTATTTCTTCTTAAGTGTAAACTTATTTTGGAGATACGCAAAGTGCACATTTTTAACAGGCATTTTAGGGGACAGAATGGTTTAGGTATTTTTATTTATCAGGCCAATTACAGAAGTTATTTGTGATGTGTCATACTTAGAACCAAGTCAGTTTTCCAAATACTGAGAAATTCAGCTTTCTCTTCTGTAGTTGATTGGAAAAGAAAAGCAAGCTCTGTGGCTTTTTCAATTTTTCACATTAAATGGAAACTTTTATTTATTAATTCTAGCCCTTGAGAAAAGGGGCTGTGAGATGCTATATGGTAAGGAGTTTTTCGTTTCCTCTTCCAATATGTATTTCTTGAACAAACATCATGATAGCAATGTTAACATAAAATTTAAAAAATTGTCCTCTCACACTAGCCCAGTGGTTCTAAACCTGGGGGATGACACTGCTTCCCAGGAGACATTTAGCAACAGACGGAGACATTTTTAGTTGTCACAACTCGGGGTACAGAGCTGGCATCTAGTTCGTAGAAGCCAGGGATGCTGCCATACATTCTATGCACAGAACATCCCCCCCATAGGAAAGAATCAGCCAGCCTCGCATGTCAGCAGTGCTGAGGTTAACAAACCCATTCCTATCATATCAACAGTTCATTTTTCTGTTCTGTGTCAATCCTTGCCTACGTGTGTATATTTTTTACATAGTTATAGTGTACATTTTGTGTTTTTTTCACTTAATTTTATATTTTACCTGTTTAAACATTGCTACATTGTTTTCAACTTTTAAAAAGGTTATTTTTCTCATTTGGGAATTGAAAAGAAACTAGAATGTGTACTTTACTTAGGACATCTGTAAGTTTTTTTTTTATTAAGCATGAGGATTTAAAAAATTTTTGTTTTTTGTTTTGGAGGAGAAGTAATTAGGTTTATTTGTTTGTTTGTTTGTTTGTTTGTTTATTTTGACAGAGGTACTGGGGATTGAACCCAGAATCTTGTGCATGCTAAGCATGCGCTCTACCACTGAGCTATGCCCTACCCACTAGACATTTGTAAGTTTTCAATTATCTTTGTATGAGAAGAGGTAAGAAGGGTTAGGGTGAATAACCTGACTGGATATTTCAGTTTTCATGGCCATGCTGTTTACTTTGTTCCCTATGTCACTCAAAGACCATGGGACTCAAAGCTCATCCTTTGCTCAGAGCCAGGAGATGTGCTGGAGCATGCGGTCCTGGCCCCTGCACTGTAATTGGAGGACACCTACTAGAAGAAGTAAGAAGTCGAAGTGACTGCACCCATTCTCCTTGCCCTCCTCCCATTTAAGATTCTTTGTCTCTGTTACACATTGCTTTGACAGCTTTACCAGCTCATTCTTGACATCCATAAGTTTCTGGATGCCTGTGCTTCTTTCCAGACAGTGGCTTTGTAGGATACTTAATGAGCATTTATTCAGTATCTCCTTTTAAAGAATAGTATGGTTATATACTTTGTTATATGGGCAATTTTAGGCACAGTTTAGATGTCAGAGCATTTATAATTCAAAGAATGAATTTTTGTTACCTCAAGATCTGCTTTTTTAGAATATTCAAATGACTCAGCTATTGGGTCTCAAAAAATCCACTGGAAAAATGTTAGTTCTGGGATGTCAGAGTGGAACTGGCAGAAGGACCCTGGATTCCAGGCATAGGAACCCAAATATTCAGTCATGGAATAAGCAGCATGATGGGGATGAGTCAGCATACTGGCATGAAGGGCTAACGTCAAAGTGTGGCAGGAGGTGAGGCTAGAGAGACAGGCAAGAGCCAGGTTGTGAAGACGCTCTGGTGCCATGCTAAGGGTTTGAAGTCCACCTGAAAGCAATGGGACTATTAAGCAGCAAGTGACTTTCATTCACAAAGGTCAGTCTGAGAGCTTTGTGGAGTGCAGGGGACAGCCCAGCAGCAGGGAAATCAGTTAAAGATGCTATTACACTAAATTGGGCAAATAATGAGAAGAGGCTAAACTAAGATAGCAACCTCAGACATGGAGAGGATGAATTAGAAAGTGAGCAAAGAGCAGGTGGAGGGTATTGCTCAGTGGTGGAGCACATGTTTGGTGTGCACAAGGTCCTGGGTTCAATCCCAGCTGCCCCCATTAAGAGGGAAGAATAAAAATTTTTAAAAAATGAGTAAAGAGGAAGAACCTACACATTCACGGACTGGTTGTACATGTGAGTGGGATGAATAAGGTGGGGCCAAGGCTGACCTTCAGGTTTATGGCTTAGGAAACTACGTTGATGGTGATTTTATTCACTGTGGAATACAGAAGGAGGAGCAAGTGTAGGAGGAAGATGAGTGGATTGTTCAGACTGAGTTGTTCGCTAGACAGTGGATATGCCTTGGTCTTAAATGGTAGACTCATTTTATACTCCCCTCCTAGCCTATATCCTCTTCCCTGGCACCTGTACCTCTCTGCCAGTCCTTGCTTAAAGAGTAGGCTTTGGTGGCCATATTTGTCCCCCTGCTTCCAACCTATTCCCACCACAACTGACTGAACAAGGAATACTATACAACTAACTTTGGAGAGAGGCGCATAATTCGTTAGGTGAGCAATGAATCATTAATTGCCTCTCTTCCATAAATTTGAACCCAGAGATAAACAATAGAAATTACTTAGTGTGAAAAATTACAGAGACTTAGGACTTGAATGGCTGTTTTCAGCTTTGCTGATGAGCAAGCAGAGAAGTCCATCTATACAGAGAAGCAAGTAAGGGGGGCAGATTCACAGGGTCACCCATAGACAAAAGACCTCATGGGTCTGGATAGCTTAGTAATGGCCGGCCAGTTCCACATATCCATATGTGGCTAGATTTAGTTTGCAGTGTATGCCTTTGGATCTTATTCTGTTAGTAATCTTCCCGTGGTAGTGGGATTGGCTGGCTGTGAAGGTCAGAAAGCTCAAAATAGTAACAGTTTGAAAAAGAAATTTCTCTCTCTCACACAAAAATCAAGAAGAAAGCAGCCCAGAACTGATAGGGCAGCATTTGGAAATTGCCAGCGACTAAGATTTCTTCTCTTACGAGAGCATATCATCCACAGCATGCGGCTTCCACCTCATGGTGTCCAGGATGGCTGCCCAAGCTTCAAGCTATCTTCTCTGCATTCCAGCCTGTAAAAAGGAAGGAGTGTGAAGGAGGGCATCCTGTTCCTGTAAGGACACTTCCTAGGTTGGGTGGTACCCAACTCTGTTTACATCCCATTGGTCAGAACATAGTCACATGACTGTATCTAACAGAAGGCAGGCATCCCTGTGATCAGGCAAAAATTAGATGTCTTATTTCTGCAGAAAAAGGAAAGAACACATATTGAACAACTGGCAGTTTCTGCCACAGGCACTTGTATTTGTTTTAACTTCAGTATACTTCTGTTTCCTGCCACTTTTTCTAAAGAAATCTGGAGCTTAGTGGATATGGATTATTATTTAATCCTCCTAACAACCCACTGAAGTAGGCATTGCTATTATATCCATTTTATTTGGGGGAAATCAAAGTTTAAACAAATTCAATGACTTGTCTAAGTCACCTAGGTAGAAAGTGGTGGGACCAGGGTTTGAACCAAGGGATGTCAGACTCCTCTGCCTGAGCTGTTAGTCACCGTGATAGTGAGAAGGGCAGAGAGCCAAAGGCAGGGTTCTTAGGATGGGTGGCGCTTGATGGGTCTGTTGAAGAGGAGCCCAGGAAGAACACAGGGAAGGAAAGGCCAGGGAGGTAAGAGTAAAAACTGGAGGAAGTGACATCAAAGAAGAGAGAAGGAGTGAACAGGTGCTGCACAGAGATCATATCTAGAGAAAACAAAACAAGCTTGTCCAGTTGGATTTGGCATTTGGAGGGTCATTGATGATGGAGTTTGAGTACAGTAGTAAGAAGAGGAGCCAAAACGCAGTGATCTGAAGAATGCAGAAGACAAATTAGAAAGAGGACAATAACTTGAGGGGGATGTGGTGAGATTAAAGAGTTGTTTTTATGTCTTTTTTAAGACCAGAGACATCTTGACCTAAGGCCAAGACATTAAGAGAGAGAGGGAGAGGGAGAGATAATGAGCATACAGCAAAGAAAAAGCTTCCTTGAGGAAGCAATAGGAGACAGGATCTAGAACACAGGTAAAGGGATGAGCTTTGGCCAGGAAGATAGAAAGCTCTTCCACTGGGAAAGGAGTGAGGACAGGATCTCTAAAGATGAAGGGTGGTATATTGGTGGTAGCAGACAAAGCTGACAAGAGTTTTATAATGGCTTTGGTTTTACTCATGCTGCGGGAGATGGTCATCTGCGAACAAAGGGGAGAGGTGAAATTTGGAGTTTGATGGGGAGGTGGAAATTCTGAATATTTGCTGGGTGAAATGGTAGCAGAAGCTGGCCAAGAGCGTAGAATGACCTATGCAAGTTGAGACGCTTGGCTCAGGCTGCAGACCACGAACCTGCAGTGGCTCCTTGTCTTGGTTTTCTCCACCAGCACTCAGCAGACTGCAGTAGGTAGAGAAAAGTCAAATGGTTGAACTTTTCCTGGGCTGGGTTTCCAAGGAAGATGGGACAAGGAGCAAGATAACTGAGGCCATTGGCGAGAGAGTGACTGAAATGATCAACAGTTGGGTCCAGGCTTCAGGGGGAAATAAGTGAAGCCAAAGAATACCTGGTAGTTTGAGAGAGGATGTAGCGGTTGAGGGACTGGAGGTCTCAACTGTAGAGTACATGTAGTTTACGAGCGCAGCAACTTCACACCCATCACTATGGCTATTACTTATATCTTTATGGCAGTTCCTCAGAAAACATAGAATTATATATCCAATAATTCCATTGTACCCAAACAGTCAGAAGCAGGGACTCAGATACCTATATACCAGTGTTCACAGCATCCTTAACTCACAATAGTCAAAAGGTGGAAACAGCCCAAATGTCCATCAACACATGAATGGATAATCAAAAATAATACAATGGAATGTTATTCAGCCTTAAAAAGGAAGGATATTCTGATTCTTGCTATAAAATGAATGAAACTTGGAGACATCATGCTAAGTGAAATGAGCCAGAAACAAAAGGACAAATGTTTGATTCCACCTGTATGAGGTACCTAGAGTAGGCAGATTTATAGAGACAGAAAGTAGAATGGAGGTTACCAGGGGATGGGGAAGATGGCGAGTTATTGCTTAATGGGCACAGAGTTTATGCTTAGGATAATGAAAAAGTTCTGAAAATGGATAGTGGTGATGGTTGCACAGTATTGTGAATATACTTAATACCACTGAATTCTACACTTCAGAATGGTTAAGGGGGGAAGGTATAGCTCAAGCAGTAGAGCACATGCTTAGTGTGCACAAGGTCCTGGGTTCAATCCCCAGTACCTCCAACTAAAATAAGAAAGAATTGCCTCCCCGGCCAAGAAAAAAAATTTTTTTAGAAGAATGATTAAAATGGTAAATTTTAAGTTTCATATATTTACCACACACAAAAAAGCAGGAAGTACAGAAGATGGTGGTAGAGTGGGACATTTAGAGTTTAGGATTGCAAGATTTCAACAGTAGTTAAGGTCATGACAAGGGCACAGTTGTAACCACGGGGATGGATAACTAAGTACAATGCAAAGTAAAGATCTCTGGCTCTGGAAGGCTGGTCAGTCTAGGAGCTTGCATGAGTCATGTACTTGGATATTGACCTGCAGCCTGTACTGTCCTCCTGACCAGCAAGCCCCCTCTTCGTGTATCCCCACTTACCCTCCCATACCCCAGTCTCCCGGAAGTCAAGGATCCAAAGTTATTCTCAGTATCTCCCACCCCCTTCTCCTTTCAACTTCCTCCAGCCTAAGACTCTCCTGCTCCACCCCTGCAACTCTCTGGGGGCCAGAAACCCACAGTATAGGACATGTCATAATTCAAACATTTATTTTCTGATTATTCACAATCTCATTTATCACTACTGTGTTTTAACGTTTTCATGTATTTGCTACCATTCTCTTCCTTGTGTGTCTGGTTCTTACCTAGTTGTAATAATACTTTTACATTCTGCTTTTTCTCTTATTATAACATAAGCTTTTTCTATATTGCCACACAGGCCTCATAGGTTGCCTGTGTTGTGTCCTGGGCTCTCTGATACCCAGGACTAAAATCATAAGGAACTGAATAGTGCTCAGAGACATTGTAGGGAGGAGGCTATGAGTGGGGACCAGATGATGGAAGTAGGAATGGGGAGGGGCACAAGAAGATTTTTAGCTAAAAGTCATGGGGAGGACACACGGGGATACAAAGACTCAGATTGGGGTCCTTTTTTCTTTTAGTGTATCAGATGATAATTAACATTCTATATGTCGTCCACAAAAACTGTTAATGTGAAAAGGATGAGACTCTGGGAAACTTAGCAAGAAAGGAGAAAAATAATCAAAATATAGTTTTACTGTTAAAAAAGCAAAACTGAATATAGTTATGTCGACTAGCTGCAGTACAATAATAATTACGCTTATCACTACAACCTGGGACAGATTAACTTGGTTAAAAGTTGTGTTTGATTGTAACAGCAAGTCTTATTCGCTGTCAGTGGTGCTAGTAACACAAATACCACTTCATCAATCAGCAGACATTTATTTCTCCCCCACCATGTCATGCAATGCCGTTATGTAGCAAGACTACTTTTAGCTTTAAAAAATTAAAGACAATATTGATGGCAGGCTTGAATCCGAAGTTTTAGAAGAGAGCTGAATGACTTAGAAGTTGACAAAAATTATAAGATGTGTTCTGTGAGTAAAATAATTCCTTGATAGTGTGGAAGTAATGGGATCTCTAGCTTCCAGAGAAGTCCTTTTATTTCTAAATATTCCAAAGAGCGGACAAAAGCTTCTTTGGAGTTTGTAACATTGTAAGGGACCTTTGGGAGATTTGCAGATTATTAAATTGCACACTTCTGAACTGGGCAGACAGAAAGCTTGTATTTTTTTAAACATTCTACCATACATTTGCCTTATGTATATTATGTCATTTCTTATTTTAGACAATGTTATACAACTGTTCAAAGCTTTAATATTTTTGTATTGTTAGCTGATTCATGTAAGTGCTCATTATAACTGGATAACATAACCATTAATTAATAACACAACTGAACTATACCTTGTAGAGAATCTAACTCTAAACATACACACATGTCAGATTTCTTGCACACTCTGGTGTATATGTGTGTGTATGTGTACACATATGCATTTCTCTTTTATCAAGGGAAAAGTTCAATTAGAAGACTTACTTCACCATCTTGAGAAAGAAGAGCTTGAATATCTTGCCTTTACCGAAGAACAACTCTGTTTTATCTGGTGCTTTTTGCAGCAAACACAGGCTGAGGACTGCTACCAGAAATCTAGACAAGCTTTCAGTGAAGCACATGGAAGACGTTAAAGAAGTAAGAGCTAATATCGTAAAGTTTTAAGATATCTGTGGTTTTGCTCATCGTCCTTCATTAAATTAACACGTTAAAAACCATTATTTGAACATCACTCTGTAGTTTGCAGAGCACTCACATGTACACTTTTTTTTCATGAAATAGATCAACAATCTGTATCGAACAATCTCAGTTTCCAACGGAGTACACGTACAAGATGTTGCCCAGAGATGGCTGCTTGAGTATCCAAATAGGTCTGCTCAAGATGGCTTTCATTATCTTGGTAAACTCATCTTTGTCTCAGTAACCAGCCCTCTAGCTGACTCTCCTGCTAGTGGGCTTAGAAACCTGATTAGTCAGTGAACTGTGGGTGGATCCATTTCTCAAAGGTGGCCTTGTATTGACAAAACTCACAGAGAAGTTGGTAGAAAAATAGACACCAGCTTTTTAGTTGATAATAAAAAATATAATTGCCAGAGGAACTGGACACACATATCCTGTGGCTGTTGCACTCATTCCCTACAGGTACACTTTATAGGAAGCCAAATTTTTATTAAATGTTTACTTGATGAACAAATGATTCTAATTTTTTATAGCACCAGCTAAGATACCCAGAGTTCCACAATAGAGCTATCTATACCTGCCCTTATTTCTGGACCTGTTATAGCCTAGAACCAGGGCACCTCGCCCTTAGATGAGTGGATAATAGCATCTTTTGACTCTCTTAGCACTTTGATATTTCCAGTACTGATCAACCTACTTGCTGACATATGAGCTACTTTCTTTAAATGAGTTAATAAATACACTCAGGTTGCTTGCAAATCGCTCTGCTGTGTTTTGACAGCTCAGGTAACATGTTGATTTTTAAATTTAACTCTCAGAGGGCAATCTGATTTCCAAACTCTTAAAGACGAATGCAGCTCCTTTAGAACAAAAGCATGAACTTTAATATTAGGTAAATTAAGGTGAAAAGTTGCCTTTGGTGCTGACTCCCTGTGTAACCTTGAGCAAGTTCCTTAACTTCTTTGAGCTTGAAATTCCTCATCTGTAAGACGGAGATGACAGTAGTCTCTTTAAGAGGATTTGTGAGGTTTACACACATTAGTGTATAAAACATTTCACATATGTACTTGGAACCTAGCAAGTATTCAATAAATCTTAGCTGTTATTAGAAAGAGGTATTGTTGTTCCTGTTATTTTAAAGAGGCGGAAACTGAAGCATACCAGGAAGCTACAAAGTTGGTCTGCAGTTTTGTGTTCCTTCTACTGTGCCAGTCAGCTTTCTGTCCATATTCTGAGGAGCTGTCCAAAAAAGGCTTCAGCACGATTCAGCAAAATGCAGCTCAGTTATTCTGGTAGTCTACTTCTCTTTTTAATTGAAGTATAGTTGATTTACAATGTTGTGTTAGTTTCAGGTGTATAGCAGAGTGATTGGTTTTATATATATATATATATGTATATATTATATATGTATATACTTATATAGATATAAATATATTCTTTTTCAGGTTCTTTTTCATTATAGGTTATTACAAGATAGTGAGTATTGTTCCCTGTGCTATACATTAGGACCTTATTGTTTATCTACTTTATATATAGCAATGTCTATCTGCTAATCCCAAACTCCTAATTTATCCTTCTTGGCTCTTTTTCCCCTTTGGTAACAGTAAGTTTGTTTTCCACGTCTGTGAGTCTATTTCTGTTTTGTCATTTGTATCACTTTTTTAGAATCCATGTATAAGTGGTATCATTTATTTTTATTTCTCTTTCTTATTTATATACTTCGTTTAGTATGACAGTCTCCAGGTCCATCCATGTTGCTGCAAATGGCATTATTTTATTCTTTTTCATAGCTGAGTAATATTCCTGTGTGTGTGTGTGTGTGTGTGTGTATTTGGTGGACTACTTCTAAGCAATTTGATACAGTAGGAGCTCAGTCTCTGGCTCTGCCCGAGTGTGAAGTCTAGCTCCCCCTTTTCTGCCTTGCTTCACAACGCATGTCCCTCAGTCTTTCAGCCTGCTTCCTCCCTGTGAAGTGGGAGGATAACTGTCATTGGGTTGTAGTGAAAACTAAATATTTGATATCCTTAACATTGTGCCTGGAGCATCTAGTTAGCTTTCAATTTTATTAGGTACCTAAAATTACCTTTCATGAAGCTGTCATATTAACCAGAAACTATTTTTAAAGAATGCTCAACAATTTCTTTTAATACAATCTCCTACTAACATTTCAGACATCTTAATCATGAGTTTTTGCCCAAGAGTATAAATAGTTATTATGTAGATATTTCTCTATTTGTGAGTATCATGACCATATTTCCTAAACCATAGATAAGGAGACTTGATTTGAAACCTGATTTGTTCATGGAAAAAAATATTAGAGATTGTGACCGTCACAGAGACTGTGACCAGAAATTTGTGGTGATGTGTCCTGCTGTCTGTGGGTAACAGCGTCTGATAACATAAGACAGCTGGAAGGAAGCTTAGGGAGAGAGACTCACACTTAAACAAAGCTGAGTTTTCTGTTCACTTCTTAATTATAAGCATTGTTAGTATGGTGATCTCTTTTTTCCCCCCATTAACAGAAGCACTGGGGATTGAACCCATAGCTCTACCCCTGAGCTATGCCCCCAACCCCCTAAAATATGATAATCTCTTAATGTCTCTTTCGCTTAATTAGACTTGTAAGAAAATGTATTATTTTCTTTCTAGGTGGAAAACTATGTAAACCATGTCTGTAACTTACCAGAGGAAAGAGAAGCGTTTTCTCATGGTTATGGAAAGGAAAACAGACAGCTTAGATGTCAGTTTAAAGAACTCCAACTCAAGCAGGGTAATTCTTCCTTTTGTAAAAATGTGCATTTAAATTTTTCCCTAATTCAAAAAATTAGCATGTGACAATTACAGAAAATCTGGGGAATGTGTAAAAGTAGAAGAAAGGAAAAAATGTACTACCTGTCCTCTACTTCAAAAGAAAAAACTTGTAATGTTTTAGATGTATTTTCCACCTGTCTTTTTAAGGTATATATTCTGAACTATTCTGAAATGTGTATGAGAGAGTGCAGGATGGTTATTTTCCTTAATGCCAATTACAGCACTCCCACACTGTGTCATAATTACTTGTGACAGCTCTTCAGGGGCAGAGATCATGTCCTAGTCTTAGCGGTTGCTGTGTTCTCCACGGCACCTGCCTTGTAAAGTTCCTAGCATATTAAGGACTCAGGAAGTGTTTATCAGGTGCTCCAAAGCTACAAGGGAAGTTACAGATAGGACCCCTTTAGAATATTGTATTTTGTTTAACTCCGTAAATTAGATATTATGATGGATATGGTCAATGGTTATTTGTATTTATCACACTTATTTATTTTCTTTTGCTCAGCATTGTTACTTGCATCTCAGATATTCCATATGGGATCATTTTCCTTTCTTCATTGTCGAACTTCCTTTCACAAGGATCTGTTGATGAACATTTTCCCCTTGTTTGGACTCCAGGTGCAGAGAAAATCGATCAAATCACAGGCCATATTTCATGTGTATTGCACTCTGGTTTCATTTTTTTCCCCCTTTTTTGTTTTCCATTGGTTATATCAGGTTTTCTTCTGCTGGTTTAAAAGTTTTCATTCTAGTTTTGTTCATATGGTGGTTGCATTTTAAGAGTTAAAATTTTTTTTTCTGGCATTTTTAGTTATTCTCTGCAGGAGGGTTGTTCAGGGCTCCAATCTGCTATATTGTAAGAAACAGAGGCTGCTCTATGTCCTGCTGCCAATGTAAATTAGCTCATGAAGGATTGGAAAATAAGGGGAGTGAGGTCATTATAATGTGAAGTTCATGTATAATTTCCCCAGCATGTTAGTGAGTTGGGCTTACCAGCAAGCCTTGGAGTTTGTAGATAAAGCCCATTCACTCCACGTTCTTCTCGGCTGTTTGGCCACAAGTTTTGCCTCGGAAGTGCTTATTGCAAAGATATTCCTAATCTTTGTGCATTTTGCCTTTGTTTCCAACTCTGCAGACTCAGCTCCTTTTTTAGCTCACCTTTGCAGTGAACCTGGGTTTTTAAAAGAAGATAGAATTCTGTATTTACTATACTATTCCTTTATTTTTTTTTAGGAATTTGACATATCTCTTTAAATGTACCAGTGTAATTATTAGGATTGTCAGTGTTTTTATAGCACTATAATTATACAATTGCAAAGGTTTTGAGTGCTCTATACCAACCTTTTTTCCATAAGCTCTATTATGTTTAGTGAGCAATTTTGCAAAATACAAGTTTGCTTGTTTGTTTTTGGAACACATATGTTGATCACATCAGAATTGCTTATATAATTAAAGGATGTCTCTTGAAAGTGGTGCTAATGTGATTTGATAATGGATTTAATGTTGGGTGGGAGAAAAAGGAAAGAAGTCACTAGTGACCCAAAGCTTTTTGGTTTGAGCAGTTGGAATATTTGTGTTCCTCACTACTCAGATTGAGGGGACTGTGGGAGGTCCCATTTGGGAAAGATAATAGAGTTTGCTTTTGGACATCTGCATTTTGATGTGTATATTAGACATACAAGTGGAAATGTCCAGGAGGCAACTGTGTCTGTGTTTGGACTGCAGTGTGAACTAGGGATGTAAATTTGAGAGTCCTCAGCATATAGCTAATACTCAGAGCCTTGAGACTATAGGAGATAACCTAGGGAATGAAAAGAAGAAGATTCAGAGCCGGGCCCTGAGGCATTCCAGTGAATAGAGGTTGGAAAGACCAGAAATCAGCAAAAGAGCCTGAGAAGCAAAAGGCATGCAAGGTAGGAGGAAGCCTAGCATGGTGTGGTGTCCCAGAAGAGAAATGATGAAAGTGTTTTAAGAAAAGGAAGGGCACCATTGGGTCAGATACCATTGATAGGCTATGTGGAAAGAGGACCAGTAATTGACCATTGGGTTGGATCTCATGGAGGATCTTACTGACCTTGAGGAGAGCTGTTTCTATGGAGTGGTGGAAATGAACGCCTGATTGGAGTGACTTCAGGGAAGAGTGGTAGGAGAGGAGGAGGGGACATGGCTGTGGCTGATCCTTTCCTGGAGTTATGCTGCAGAGGGAAATGAAGTAATGGTGGAGGACCTGGGGCGGGGTGGTGGGGGGGACATGAGGCTGAAGGAAAGTTCTTTGTTGTTTTCATCACTTGTTTTTAATGGGATGATTATAATGCTTAATTGGGAAGAATGCTCCACGAGGCAGTAGAGATAAGAGTCAACTGCAAGAGCTCTGTGTTTGAGAGAAGAGGCAATGGGAGCCAGTGCACGAGGGTGCGGCTGGCCTTAGGATCAAGGAGAGTCCCTTACATCTCACAAGAGGGAGGAGTGTGGGGGAGCTGGCAGATTTGGAAAGGGGAGCTTGCGGGAGCTCTCGTCTCTTTGGAATGCCTCTCTTTTCTCTGTGGAATAAGAAGCAGGGCACTCAGCTGAGAGTGAGGATGGGGAAGGAGGTGTTGGAGATTTGAGGAGAGAAAGGAGTGAAATAGCGGTCTAGGTCTCTAGCGAATGAGAGAGAAGGACAACCAGGGGAATGTAGGAGGGTTGTGGGCAGCAGGGAGGGCTCACCTGAGGTTAGTAGTCGTGGATGTGAAATGAAATGGATCAGCACTGCCTGTGCAGTTTTCTCTAGCCACATTCGGCTTCTGGGATACGGCGGTGAAGAGTTGGGTTTAAACGGATTGGAGTTTTGTCACCAAGTAGAATGGAAGGAAAGAGGAGCAAGAGAGTTGTGAATGTTCTCAAAGGAGTGACTATGATGGTGGACCCTAGAATCTAAGCTGGGTAAGAAAGTCAATGAGAACAGGAGTCGGGTAAGGAATGTTGCTAAGGGCTTAAAGTCAATGGATTATAGTTTCCAGAATGGTCAAAAATTGCTGAAATGGAGCTACTAGAAGTCCATGAGAAGGGATGATTGGAGACTAGGATGTTTGGAACTGAGACTAGGGAGAGGCTACAGAGACTACAGAGGCCAATGACAAGGCCTAGGGAATTACTATGGAGTGGGTGGCCGTGATGGTAGAGGACTAGATCTTTGGAAGTTAGCTGCTGAAGGAACTGAAAAGCCAGGGCACTAAAATAATCACCTGCCTGAATGTTGAAATCATCAAGAATCTTGGCAGGATTAACTGAGTGACTGTGGACAAGTGTTTTGGCTTCTAGATGCCTGAGCTCTCATCTCTTAAAAGGGATAATCATGGTTCCCACCTCACTGGAGTGTTTTAATGATTAAATAAGATAAATTTATCTTAGGTGCTTAGTACAATACCTACCACATAGTAAGCACTCAGTAGAACATTAACAAATTTTTAAGTTATTCATGAACACATTTGAAACTTATGTAAGTAGTATCTACCACCTTTGAGAACTTTTTCCCACTACTTTTTAGTTATTTGCCTCCATTTCTTTTAACAGTTTTGTTTCTGTTATTTCTTCCAACCAGAAGTGCAAATAAAGGAGGTTGAAGAAATGTTGTATCAAGAAGGCTTGTCTGAAGTAGCTCTGAGCAGCCCCCATGAACAGATTGCACACTCACTCATGGAAAGAAGTACTGTCTTGAGGAGACTGGAACTTGGGGACCCCAAGCCCGAGTCACAAAGACGTACAAGCAGTAACCTACAGAAAGAATTTTCCCAGGTATTCCAAAATTAGCTGGGTAATTGAATAAGAGACAGGCCAGCTGTAAAATGCATTTGTTCATTAAATCATTCATACACTAAAATACCAGGAAGCCAGTTCTGATAGCACTTAAGAATATGGGCTTTGGGTTTGAATAGACCTCCTCTGCCACTTGTTAGCAGTATGTCCTTGAACAAGTTAGGTAACTTTCACAAGCCTCAACTTCCTCATCTGTAAAATCTGGGAGCAGCTCAGCTACAAGATGATCATGAAAATGAAATAACTGGAGGGAGGGTATAGCTCAAGTGGTAGAGTACATGCTTAGCATACACAAGGTCCTGGGTTCAATCCCCAGTTCCATGTCTAAAAATAAACCTAATTACCTCCCGCACCCCACCAAAATAAAATAAGTAATACAGTAAGAAGTAAATTTAAAAAATATTTTTTAAATGAAATAACTTAATGCACATAAAGCTCTAGAATAGTGCCTCACATGTTAATTAGCGTTACTGTTATTATTTATTGAGAGCTTAGCATGTGCCAGGCTTTGTGCTAATGGATGCAGAAACAAAGTGAAATTACACATGATCTGGACTTGCAAGGAACTTACAAGCTGATGAAGGAAAGAAGTGAACTAGTGGTTGTAATTCAGTGTGGAAAGTTGTCTGATAAAGGAAGGCACAGAAGGCTAGGAAAACGCAGGGGAGGGGCTGAGCCAGGATGGGTAGGAAAGGCTTCCAGAGGAGACGATGTTGAGTAGCATTTTGAAAGCTGAGTAGGTGTTAGCTGGATGAAGAAGCTGGGAAAGGCATTTCTGGCAGAGGAAACAGTGTATAACACATACTGGTTCATGTGAGTAAATGCTGAGAAATGTGCCTGGAGATATTTTCAGAAACCACATCATGGTGAGGCTCATATGCTAAGCTAAAGAGTTTGGACTCAGCACCTAGCAATGTTCCTGGACCATATTAAAGGTGTAAAAATATTTCAAGTGTACAGACAACTAACTTTGTTATAAAAGGTCTAGGCAGTCACTAAATGATTTTAAGAGGAGACTAACATGACCCGATTTGTGTTTTAGAAAAATCACTCTGGCCACAGTGGAGGGATGGGTTGGATAGGGGCCAGATTGGAAGCAGGGATTTCAAGGAATATTAAATAATAATTAATTAAAGAATGAGAACCGAAAACAAGGCTCAGAGTGTAAAGAGAAGGGAAGATGAACTAAAGAGTTATGAAGGAGATGGAATCTGTAAAACAAACCGGACATTTTGGGGGTGAAGTCTTGGATGACCCGAAGGCTGTCTACCCAGTCACTGTTAAGCCATAGTTTTACCACTAATGGACAGAAAGAATTAAAAACAGATACTACAAAGGGTTTTTTGTTGTTGTTGTTATTGTAAAATGTAACTCATAAAATTTCTGTCGCATTCCTGGTTATATTTTGTTTAAGCTAATGTTATAATTTACCTGAGCATAAATTATCAGCAGAGTCATTTTTTGGGGTGGAAATTGACAAGCTGATTCTAAAATTGATAGGGAAATGCAAAGGAACTAGAATAGCCAAAACAACTTTGAAGAACAACAAAGCTGAGACACACACTTCCTGCTTTCAAGACTTACCATAAAGCTGCAGGAGTCAAGAAAGTGCAGTGTTGGTATAAAGGTAGATATATAGATCAGTGGAACCGAATAAAGAGTCTAGAAATAGGCCCGCACATAGATGTTCAACTGATTTTCAGCAAAAGCGCCTCAGTAATTTAATGGGGAAAAGACAAGCTTTTCAACAAATGATGCTGGGACAATTGGAGAGACATATGCAAAAACCAAAAACCAAAAAAACAAAAACGAAACCCCCAACTCTATTGAGGTTCCTGTCCCCATTGGTAAAGGAGGGATTCGCTACCCTAAATACAGTAAGATAGCCAAACACATGACACCCAACGTTGGACAGACAGAGATGTGATAGATAGTTTATCCATCAGACACGCTCACAGCCCAAGGGAGGACACTGCCTGCCATGCAGAGCCACAAGGGATTGTACTCAGGAAGGAGTGAACGCACAGGAGCCCTGAGAGAAAGACTTTGCAGTAATGATAGGATGAGATGCCCCCTGGTTCTCATGAGAGGATATAATTGGCTCATTTTAAAAATTCCTTGGATTGGCAGGGCAATGAAATCCATTAGACTGAGAACTGGGTCTGGCTGATAGAGGAACTAGCTGGGTGGGGAATCTTTCCTGTGGGATGGGAGCATGCCTGGCAGGAGCAGGGAGATTCATGGTTAGGCTTTTGGTGCTCTGTGAGGTACGAAGACGTCAAGGTAGCACATGTAATTTTGGCCTTACACTGATCCTACACCACACAGAAAATTAACTCAAAATGGTTAATAGATGATATAGGAAATAAAATTTACAGAAGAAAATTTTAGTGACCTTGGATTTGGCAAGATTTTTTATAAGACAGGTAAAGCACAAAATATAAAAGAAAAAAATTGGACTTCATAAAAATTCAGAACATTTGCTCTTCAGAAGACAGTGTTAACAAAAATAAAAGCGCAGGCCACAGACTGGGAGATAATATTTTTTTTAAATATATCCAACAAAATCTTTTTATCTATATATATAGATACCTCTTACAACTCAATAGTAATAACACATACAAACCAATTTAAAAATGGACAAAAGGATAGAGACTGCACCGAAGAAGATATGCAAATGGTTAATAAACTCATGAGAAGATGTTTCTCATGGAAAGTACAAAAGTCGCAGTGAGATACCACTGTAAGTGTACTGGAACGGCTAAAATTAGAGACTAAAACCCTATCAAGTGTTGGTGACAGTGTGAAGCAACTAGAATTCTGTCCTGCTGATGGGAATATAAAATGTACAACCACTTTGAAAACTAGTTTAGCATTGCCTTAAAGATTAGACACATACCTAACATAACCCTGCCATTCCACTCCTAGGTATATACCCAAGAGAAGTAAAAGCATGTGCCCACATGAAGACTTACACATGTTATAGCAACTTTAACTGGACCAGCTCTAAACTAGAATCCACTCAAATGTTAATCAACAGGTAAATGTATAGATCCATAGGATAGAATATTAATTGGTAATAAAAAAGAATAAATATATAACAAAATGGATAAAATAGTCTCAAAATAATTATCAGAGTGAAATAAGCCAGACCAAAAAGAGTACATTGTCTGTGATTCTATTTATATAAAGCAGTAGAAAATGGAAACCAATATATAGTAACAGAAACATTAGTGATTGCCTAGGAACAATTCCAGGTGAGGAATGAATTAAAAGGAAGTATAGGAAATTTGGGGAGGTGGTGCGTATTTTCATTATCTTGATTATGGTGTTGGTTTCATGGATGGACACATATAACAAAAAATTGTACACTGTAAATATGTGCAGTTTATTGTATACTAATTATACCTTTAAAAAGCTTTTTAAAAAAGGTTTTCCAAAGATGATCTTGTTACTATGAAACGAAACTTGTAAAAATTCCATTGCCTCCATAGTTATATTTTACATACGCTAATGTTGAATTAACCTGTGCATAAAGTAAATGAGAGAGGGGCCACTAAATGAGGCCACATATGATCACTTGGAAGTCCAAGGAATTTTGCAAGATCTGATCTATATACTAATTACATTTTACTTAACATTTGTTTTTTGTTGGTTTTCTAACTTAATAGAGGCACGTGGTAAAGGATTCAAGCAGTGTAAAACTGAACAAAAAATGAGTTATCGTCTCACCTCAGATACTCAGTTCCATACTCCTAAGCTACCACTGCCAACAATTTTTTATTTGTCCTTCCAGAAAATTTCTGTCCACTTAAAATACAAATTATATTTCATTGTGCATATTGTTTTCACTTCCTGTATTAATATATATATAGATTTCCCTTAGTCTTTTTGACAACATGTATTCTTTTGAACAGGTATATCAAAATTTATTTAACCACTTTAGTGTCAGATGGGGCAGAGAAGAAAGGGATGATATTTAATGCCAGGAACAATCAGGATTTCTAAAAACACATTTTATTGTGGAATATAACAATATATATGCAGAAAAGTGATAAAACTTAAAAAATACAGTTTGACAAATAGTTATAGAGCAAACACTCATCTAGCCCCAACCACTGGTCCTATTAGGAATACAACATTGCCAACTCCCTAGAAGCTTTCTTTTCTGATCACAGCCCCCTTCCTCCCTACAAAGGTGTGCATCTCTAAATAGTATACATACTAGTTTAGTTTTGTCTATTTTTGAACATTACATACAAGGAATCAACTTTGGGAATTGCTTTTTTGTAAAACATTATGTTTGTATTTCTTATTTTTAATCAGCTTGTCATTGCTATATATCATTCCATTGTGTGAATATATGGTTGAGACTATCCATTTGATGTTTCCAGTTTATATCTGTTATGAACATACTATAATCTATCATGCTATTATGCTGCTATGAAAAATTCTTATATGTGTGCATGCATTTGTGTAGAGTATATACATAGGGGTGGATTTAGGGAATTAGAGAGTAGATAGATCTTCAGCTTTATCAGATAACATCAAACTATCTTTTTAAGTAGTTGTACCAGTTTACCCTGGCGCCAGTAGTGTATGAGGGTGCCTTTGCTCCCCATCAGCACTTGAAGTTGTCAGACCTTTACATTTTTGCCAAACTACTGGGTGCATAATGATATCTCATGTTGGTTTTAATTAGCATTTCCCTGATTACTAATGAATTTAGTATGATTATTGGTCATTTGGATTTCCTATTTTATTAGTGTTTCTTCAGGTCTTCTGTCCATTTAAAAATTGAATTGTCTTTTTCTTACTGATTTATAGGAATTCTCTGTATGTTCTGGTTCCAAGTCTTCTGTTGATTATGTGTGTCACAAGTACTTTTTTCCCCGCCCTGTGGTTTGCCTTTAATATTCTTAATTGTGTCGTCTAATAAATGGAAGTTCTTTAATATAGTTCACTGTGTCAATTATTTGCTTTTAGTTAGTGTTTTTCTGTCTTATTTAAGAAATCTTTGCCTTCTGGGATTTTGATTTTTGGTTGCATTGAATTCTGTAAATCAGTTTAAGAAGAATTAACTATCTTAAAATATTCATGTTATCTGTGGGATATCTCTCCATTTATTTTTTAATGTATATAAGTAAAGATTTATAATTTCCCCACAAACTCTTGCACATTTTTTTATGTTTATTGTTAGGTACTTCATATTTTTAGATGCTATTAATAGTAAATGTTATTTTTTTAATTGTAGTATAGTCATTTTACAGTGTTATGTCAATTTCTGGTGTACAGCATAGTATTTCAGTCATATGTATACATACATATATTTGTTTTCATATTCTTTTTCATTATAGGTTACCACAAGATAGTAAATATAGTTCCCTGTGCTATATGGAAAAAATTTGTTGTCTATGTATTTCATATATAGTAACTAGCACTGCAAAACTAGAATCTTGAAAAAAAATGCTATTTTTTTTAAGAATTTAATTTTCTAATTATCTATTGCCAGTGTTAAGAGTGTAATTATTTTTGTATATTGACTATACGAGCAATGTTGCTGAAATTTCTCATTGATTTTAGTAATTTATTTGAAGATTTAAAATTATTTCTGCCTGTATAGTCATATGTCAGAATAATGATATTTTTTGTTTCTTCCTTTCCAGTCTTTTATTCCTTTTAATTCTTTTACTTACCTTACTCTACTGGCTAGATTCTCTAGTATTATCTTGAATAGCAGACATACTTGTCTTATTAATGGTATCAGAAAGTATTCAGCAATTCACTATTAAGTATGATGTTTGCTGAAGGTCTTTTTTTTTAATGATACCCTTTATCAGGGTAAGAAGGTTCTCTTTTATTACTAGTTTGTTAACAGCTTTTGGTAGGATTCAATGTTAAATTTATACAATGTTTTCTCTATAGCCATTGAGATGATGAAATAATTTAGAACTTTTATCTGTTAATGTGGGAATCTGTTGATTCATTTTTCTGTTAAACCTATCTTGCATTCCTGGAATAAATCCAACTTCATCATGATGTATTATCCTCTCCAAATATTACTATATTCAGTTTGATAAAATTTTGTTTAAATTTTTCCATCTGTGTTTATGACTGAGGTTGCCCTGTGATTTTTCTTTCTTGTATTATCTTTGTCAGGTTTTACTATCAAAGTCTGTCTAGCCAGGCTTAGCCACCATTTTTTTCACTATTACCTCTATAATGAGACATTTTAGATAATTTTTCCTATTGCTCTCTCATGAAATTTTAATGGTACTGATATAAACTACTTGTCTTCATGTACTGTAGACACCTGCACTTTGTACTGAAAAGTGTAAGATGTTTCCCTCCTAGAGACCAGTTTTCACTCCTTGGGGGCAACATTGTCTCACTGAGAACACAGGGTCTAGCCTCATAAAATGGATTGGCCTGGGCTCCCTCTTCATCTACTTGGTTATTTTTTTTAATTTAAATGACATTTTTATTCATGGAGCTGATTGGTATAATTTTCATTTGTCTCTTAATGTTTACTTAGGAGAAATCTGAACAGATCCACCAGCCTCTGCAAAGAGGAGATCAGAAACATCAAGAACCTAAGCCTCATTCTAAAAAAAACCAGAGTGAGGTAAGGAAAAACTTACAGTCTTTTACTCAATAATAGCAGCTAATTACAAGTTAGCTCTTACCTTGGAAGTATTTTGTTTGAACATATTAAAATGTATAAATTCATGATGTAAAAAAATATCAATTATGCATAAAAGTGTTGTAAACACATCACAAACATTTGGGAAGAAGAAAAATCAATCACCCATTTAACAGAACAGCTGATTTCACTCATTTAGCACAATAGCTGATTTTTACTGAATGTATCAAAATTTAAACAATCATTGTGTGTTATGTCCTTTGAAGAATCACTTCGGGACAGTACATACTTGTTCCCAAATATGTTTAGAGCTTCTTTTTTGGGGAGTCCTTCAAAACATATAACATATTATTTACATATAATTAATTCTCTTTGTGGAATTTATTTTTTGATCTGGGGAAGTGTTATTGATAACTGAATCCAGTGAATAAAGTACATACAGAAAATTCAACAATGAGAAGTAACCCAAGATAATATATATGGATGAAACTGTATATCAATTATAGTATTATTTTCAATAGCAAAAATTGGAAACTACCAAAATGTTGAAATGATTATATAAATTATGCTGCACCCCCTGGAACATTATATAGCCTTTAAAAATTATCATTTCAATATCTGTACAATGGTGTGGAAAAATATTCCCTATATAATAGTAAATGAAAAAGCCAGACAGAAACTTGTAGGTTGGGATTATGACTCTGTAAGAAATGTATGTAAATAAAAACTACTGCAAGGAAATTATACCAATATTCTAAGAGTGGTTTTGTTATGTAGATAGTATTTGTTTTTTTAAATAAAATTTTATGTAATACTTATATTCATACAAAATTAATACATATTTTGGGGGTCAAAAGCAAAATATAGCTGAGATTGAATTTGTTATTTAGCTTTAAAATGCTTTGAAAATAATTGTAGAAAAAGAGCTCTAAACATGATTTGAGCCTTTATTGTCTGCATACCTTGAAATGAAATGAAATACTTTATGTAAAAGGTTATTATAAACTATTTAATTACCATATAAATGAGGATTATTTTCTCTTTTTTTGCCATATGATAATTTTTATGATAAAATTTCTATTTTTTTAAATAATCATATAACCATATCTTGTAGATATCTTAGGTTTGAACCTCGTGAAATTGCATGTTTATAGGTTAAAAATAGTCAAATATCACCAGTTTTATATGGTTCAACCTAATAAAAGAAATGCACATAAATGAAATATTCTGTTTGCTACTCTTCTTTATTGGCTTTCAAACATTTATAAGGAAGTAATGCAATGTCATAAGAATGTAATTACTTTTTGTTGTACTACTAACAATAGTTTTATTTCAGTCCCATAATGAAGACCTGGAAAAAGATAAAATATCACAAAACTGCCTAGAGAGAGATATGGAACAAATGTCAGAGAGATTAGGGATGGCCCAAGAAGAGGTCCAAAGGCTCACTGATGAACTACAAGAGAAGGAGAAAGAACAGAGTAAATTAGGTAAGCTGTGGTTACAGAACATTTCTGACCATGTTTTAAATATAATGATCCTACTCAGGGTGGAACATGAATACACTGAGAAAAAAATCTTTTAAGATAAATACATAAAATTCTGATATATAGCCTCACTTTCTACAGTGTCCAGAAATTTTTACTGAAGCACAGCATAACATACTTACCAAAAAGTGGGCAGCTCCTAAGGGTACACCACCCAGTACAAGAAATTTCCAACACCCTGGAAGCCCCATTTCCTCTCCCTCTGTCTCCTCCCCAAAAGTAATGACTATCCTAACTTTTAAGGCTATTTCTGAGTTTTAACTACAGGCAGTATGCATTATTTAAGTTTGTTTCTTTCATTCAGTTTTATGGTCGTGAGATTCACTCATGTTGTTACATGTAGCAGTAGTTCACTCTTGCTGTTTGTACCGTCCTATTGCATGGAATAAACATACTCAATTTATCTGTTTATCCATTCTTCTGTGGATAGACATTTATGTTGTTTCCAGTTGTGTCTATTATGAATAGTGCAGCTGTGAACATTCTTGTCCTTTTCTATACATTTCTGATCATGATATACCTAAGAGTAGAGTTACTAGATCAAAGGATTATGGGTTTGTTCTACTTCGGTAGATTACTGCTATACTGTCTTCCAAATAGTTGTGTTAATTTCAGCTCTCCTCAGTTGTATATGAGATTTTGGTTGCACCACATTCTTTGTCAGTACTTGGTATCATCAGTCTTATTAACTTTACCTTTTCTGTTGAGTATGTAGGAGTGTTTAACTGTGACTTTTTTGGGGGTATAGGGGTAGGTAATTAGGCTTACTAATTTATTTTTTAGAGGAGGTACTGGGGATTGAACCCAGGGCCTCGTGCATGCTAAGCATGTGCTCTGCCACTGAGCTGTACCCTCCCCCCTTAACTGTGGCTTTAATTTGCATTTCCCTGATGGCTAATGATGTTGAAAATCCTCTCATTTGTTTCTTGTTGCTAATTGAGATATACCATTTTCAAAGTTTCTGCCCGAGTCTCATTGTGGATTGTGTCTTAATGTTTTATTAATTTGTAGGAGTTTTTTTTTTTTATATATATATTCTGGGTGAGCCTTTTGTTGGTTATAAATGTTATGTTGGGTTTTGCCATATATAAATGCTAATATTTATCAAATAAGGTTTAACAGTTTTTCTTTATGGCTTCTGGGTTTTCCTATGTAAAGCCTTTTCTGTATCACTACAAGGTTATTGAAAATGTTTTCCTCTGGTATTTTTTGTTTCTTTTAGTGCTTTTATGGCTTTATTATTTGTGTTTTCAATCTTTGCTTTATCTATAATTTATTTTAGTGTAAAGTTTGTTAACTGAAATAAAATCACGCAACATGAAAGCTGTGAGTTAAGTTTTATTTCGGGCAAAGTGAGGACTATAGCCCAGGAGACGGTATTTCAGATAGCTCTGAGTAACTGCTCCAAAGAGGTAGAGGGGAACTGAGTATTATATATGATTTCAGTGAAGGCGGGTTACATGCAGTCAAACACACACTTGGGCAGAGACTTGCTGCTAGTCATGGGGAGCAGATGTCCCCATTAATGATTTTAGTGCTTTTCTAGATATGAGGAGATGCAAGAATTAGACCTCATAAAATCTTCTGAAAATATCTAACTATCTGAAGGCCTGTTCTGCCAGTTTTCCCAGAGCACAGAGTGCCTTCTTCCTGATTGCCACCCTGAACTCCTTTCAGGGAGGGATGGAGGTCAGTGGCGGCAGGGACTTGTGATTTAATCCAAGCAGAGGTAGATGGTGTCAATGTGATTCAATCCTTGTAAAGGCAGATGGCAAGTGCCAATTTTTAGTTGGCAAGTTAAATTTTTTTAATTAATTAATTTTTAATGGAGGTACTTGAAATTGAACCCAGGACCTCATGCATGCTAAGCATGTGCTCTACCACTGAGCTATACCTTCCTCCTAAGTTTAAATTTTTAAAATTAGCCCCTTTCTATTTTTGTAATTTGCAATGATTAAGGAAATTAGACTGATTTTTAAAAAATGCAGTATGCATGGTACTTTAGGATTATATCTAAAAATATTAAATATGTAAAACTAATGATTCTGCCAAATTGTGGAATTAAAAACAAAGGATATAGAGATGATTGAGATTTTGTTAAGAATGCATTTTTAAGCTGAACACAAATAAACTTTTCAGAATGATGGAAAATTGGGTTAATGGGTACACAATTGTATGTATTTGTCAAAAGTCATCAAATTATACACTTAAAAGGATGAATTTTACTGCATGCCAGTTATATCTCAATAAACCCAATTAGGGGAAAAAAAGGAAATTTGGCCTTGTGGGTATGAAGAGAAGCAGAATACTACCTGCAATACAGAAAGAGACAGGAAAAAGCGGGACACCCATTACTTGTAGTTACATTTGGCTACAACGGAACAGTCAAATAGCACCCTGTTCCATCAGCATTTGGTTGGTCTGGTGGCTCCTAAACTATTAACTGAAAACTGCACAGTGAGTATCCTGGAGGACCACTGGGAAGCTGAGTTAGCAAGTCCTTTTAAAATAACATATGTAGTATCAGTGTGTGCCTTTTGTGTTACTTCCCAAATCATCAATTTATGGCCAGAATTTATTTCTAGGTGTATGTGTTGTTACGCAGTAGTGTTTACCAAGTATTAGCCTACTTCTTTCAACAAACTGACTCCTGGAAGCTCATGCTTTATTTCCCCCGGGCTTTGCCTCACGCACCTTTTCTATGTGATTAGAAATGATCTCTTAGAAGATTCATGTTAGTCTCAGTGCATGCTTAGCATGCACGAAGTCCTGGATTCAATCCCTAGTGTGTCCATTAAAAAAGTTATAAGATTCGTGTTAGTTTCTTGCTTCTGGGAGATTCCTCATTCTTCCATTATAGGAGGCCTACCAGCCATATCTCTGGTGATGAGTAGACCACAGAAGGCAAAGTGATAAAACCTGGATTAGAGAACCCAAGTCCAATAGATTCCAGTGCCCCATATTCTTTCCCTATGCCGTTCTGCTATCCTCATACAATTCTTGAATGGTACCAAAAGCTACTTCCTGAAATATTGCTATTTTGATATTTCTAGCAACTACTAGCAAAGTTTTAAGTATTATTAATTGCAGAATTAATTTTAAGTATTTCTGGGTGTAATTTCCTTTTACTAAACTGGTAGAACCATGCTTAAAATACTTTCAGCTGCTCCTGTTGTTCATAGTGGTCCAAACTCTTTAGCAATAGAATCTGGTTAGGGAAACAGGGAAGGATTACAGGATCAGATGATATCAAGGATAGGGGTAAAAATAAGGTATAGTAGGCAAAGGTAGAGGGAAATCTGGAAAAGCTTCCTGGAGGAGGTGACATTTATGACAGCTATCAGAAAGAAAGTGTTCCAAAGAGAAGGAAAGTCATTCGAATTCAATTATTACACTGACCATTTGCTCCTTATACAAATATTTTGTTCCTTTTTTCTTTTAGATTCTGCACTTGAGAAGTCTCAACTAGAAATCGAGAAATTGAAAGAAAATTTGATGAAGCTGAAAGAAAATGGTGAGTCCTTTTAGCAGACATAGTAGTATTTAATAATATAACATTAAACATTAATATAATTTATATTAAATAATCGTTAAAGAATATTATTATTTAATAGTTATAATAGTAATATTACTTCTACTGTTATTGCTATTTCTACTGCTATTAACTATTACTACCACTTGTTGCTTACTAATAGGTACTTTGCCAGGCATTTTACATGCATAATCTCTAATCCTCACAGCAATTACAAGTTGTGAGTATTATTATTCCCATTTCAAAGAAACTGAGTCATGACAAGGTTAAATGAATTATCTAATAGCTACCTTAAGTATTAGAGTTGATATTTGAACCCATGTATATCTGACTCTAAAACCTTTGGTTAACACAAACAATAAATATTTTCCTGGGACCACTGAGATCAAGACATCTTATAATGCATCTAACACCTCGTGCATATTTGTTGACTGGGAAGCCAACAGGCTTGGAATCAGTGGTGAATTAATCTGATCCTAACTTGACTATGTAAAAATGATACCAGCTATAAATAATATAATGAAATTTGAGTGTTATAGTGGTAGCAACTATAAAGGTAATTTAAAATATGCTTACTGGTTTTAAATAATTATAAAACTAGGTTTATTTGCCCTGTGATATTGTGATTTATAGTAAGAAACGTATTTGATCTTCATCCTTGTTTCTGGCTCTAAAGCCCACAAGCCCTTGGAATTTCCCAATCCCAAGGGCTGAGAGCAATAAAAGCATCTTTTGTTATGATAATAAGGATTTTTGGAAAGCCCTTAGGTAACAAAAGGATAGGAATTGGTTGCTAGGGGAGCCAACCACCTGATTAGAGGATTGGAATTTTCAGTCCCACCCTCCACCCCTTCCTTGTCCCTACCCCCACCCACCGGGTCCCCACCTCCGCCTCCTGGGAGATGAAAGGGACTGGGGGTTAAGTTCAATCACCAGTGGCCAGTGATTTAATCAGTTGTGCCTATGTAATGAAGTTTTCATAAAAACTCAAAAGGAGAGAGTTCAGAGAGCTTCTGGGTTTGGTGAACACACGGAAATTGGAGGAGCGTGGCGGGCTCAGGAAGGGCTTGGAAGGTCTGCACCTCTTTCCCTTGCTGTTAGGCATCTCTTCCGTCTAGCTATTCCTGAGTTATGTCCTTGTATAATTAACCGGTAATCTAGTAAGTAAAATGTTTCTCTGAATTCTGTGAGCTGCTTTAACAAATTAATGAAACCCCAGGAGAAGTTCGTAGGAACCTTTGACTTATAACCAGTCTGTCAAAACCTGGACTCGTGATTAGCATCTGAAGTGGAGGGCAGCCTTGTGTGACCAAGCCCTTAACCTGTGGAATCTGATGCTATCTCCAGGTAGATAGCGTCAGAGTTGAGTTGAATTGTAGGACACCCAGCTAGTGTTGAAGAATTGCTTGGATGTGTGGGGGAAAAACCCCATACATTGTACTTGATGATCAAGACTATTAAAAAAATATACATGAATACAATTATAAAATGATCACTGTTTTCTTAGTAATTGATAGAGCTAGTAAACAAAAGCAGTAAGCATATAGAGGACCTAATAACACTACTAACCAACTTGACATAATTGATAATTACAGAAAACTCCGCCAGAAGTATTATATTCTTTTCAAGTACACATGGAACATTAAAAAAAAAAGAGACCACTGGGGGGAGGGTATACTCAGCGATTAGAGTGCATGCCTAGCTTGCACAAGGTTGTGGGTTCGATCCCCAGTACATCCTTTAAATAAAAAATAACAATAATAATAAATAAATCAAACTAATTACCCCCCAAAAAATAACAACATTTTTAGAAAAAGAGACCATTGCCATAAAACAAATTTCTGCAGAACAACCGAAATCATATGAATCTCTGACCATAATAGAATTAAACTAAAGAGCAATAACAAAAACATGTTCAGAAAAATCACCAAAAATTTGGAAGTTAAATAAGACACTTCTAAATTGCCATGCCTTCAGAGAAAATATTACAAGGGATATTACAAATATTTTCTATGAATTACTTTGAATGAAAAAGAAAACACTGAGTGTATCAGTATTTGTGGGATACATCTAAGCCAGTGCTTAGGAGGGAAATTTATGTCATTTAATGCTTAGAAAAAAATCAAGAAAGGACGCAAAGGAATCTAAGCTTCTTCTTTAAAAACCCAGAACGAGAACAAATTAAATCCAAAGCAAGCAAAAAGAAGTAAATATCAAAAATAAGAGTTGACGGCAATAAGATTAAAAACAGAACCAAAATAGAGCATATTAGTGGAACTAAGAGCTGATCTGGAAGGATCAGTAATACTGGTAAACTACTGTCTAGACTGTTCATGAATAAATGAGAAAAGTTGCAAATTAGCAATCTAAGAAATGACAGAAACTTCTACAGATCAAAAAGATAATAAGGGAATATTTTGAATAACTTTATGGTAATAAATTCGCTGGCTTGGATGAGATGGACACATTCCTTGAAAGAGGAGAAATGGATAGCCCTAAATCTATCAAAGAAATTGAATTTATGGTTAAAAATCTCATGAAGAAAACTCCAGGTCCAGATAGATTCACTAGTGAATTCTAACAAAATTTAAGGTATAAAGAATACTGATTTTACATAAACTCTTCCAGAAAATTGAAGAAGCCAGAATACGTACTTCCTAGCTCTTAAGTGGTCAGCATTATCTTGGCAACAAAACCAAAGACATTACATTACTCCCAATGACCAGCTATCCCATTTCTTCCTGGGAATTTATTTTTTGGAAATAATACCATAAGTACCTAGAGAATACCTAGTTCATTACTGAACAAGGATAATGCCTTTAGAATTGTTTACAAGAGTGAACATTGACAACAAACCTAAATCATCAGTAGGGGAAAAGTGACACAAATTATGGCAATTTTGGCAGTGCCATACCATGCAGATCAAAATGAGATAATGTATAAACAAATTGTGATATATTAGTAAAATGGACTAAAGAGTAGAGAGGAACAAATTATTGATAAAATACAGATGAATCCCCCACATACTGTATATACTAAGTAAAAGAAGCCTGATGCAAAAGTAAGTGTATTGTAGGATTTTCTTTATGTGAAAACCAAGACTGAGCAAAACTAGTCTACATGGGAGAAGTCAGAAAGTGGTTGTAGGGGTGGGCGGCAGTGGAGAACTGACTGAAAAGGAGGTGAGGGAACATTATGGTGGATGGAAGTGTTCTGTATCTTTTTTGACGGCAAGTTCACAGGTATATAAAATCGTCAGAATTCATTGAACTGAACACTTACGATATGTACATTATATTGTATATAAATTATACCTCAATTAAAAAATAGTTCCAAATAAGAAATGGAAAATGACTTTATAAGGATTGTCCTATAAAGACATCCATGATATATTCACAGGTGTTCTAGTTGCAGACAGGATTATTTAGCACTGTTTAAATTTTTTTTAATTGCATATACAAAAGGTACAATAAATCTTGCCCTCTATATATATATACATATATGTGTGTGTATATATATATACATATATATATATGTATATATACATATATATATACACACACACACATATATACGTGGATTTGAATGATTTTTTTTCTTCTTGGTGTATTTTTAGCATTTTTCAATTTAAAAAATTTAAATACTGGGGAAAAAAGGGCAGCAAGGGAAACAAAAAGAAAACAAAATTAACACAAGTTAAAAGCAAAATGCAGCAACATGAATGCTCCTAGAGAATGTCATTCTAAGTGAAGTAAGCCAGAAAGAGAAAGAAAAATACCATATGAGATCGCTCATATGTGGAATCTAAAGACTCATGGACAGAGAATACAGTCTTGTGGTTACCAGGCGGGTAGAGGGTGGGAAGGGATAGACTGGGATTTCAAAATTATAGAATAGATAAACAAGATTACACTGTATAGCACAGGGAAATATACACAAAAAGTTATGATAAATCACAGAGAAAAAAATGTGACAATGAGTGTGTATATGTCCATGAATGACTGAAAAATTGTGCTGAACACTGGAATTTGACACAACATTGTAAAATGATTATACATCAATAAAAAATGTTAAAAAAAAAACAAAAAACAAAATGAACAATGAAGAAGGAAAACAAAGGGACTTTATAGCGGCAAAAGAGAAGAGAAACATAAGTGAAAAAAGAAACAGCTACAAATTCGGTGAAGTTACAGGCAGCAAGTATGTACTGTTGAAACTTTGATGAGTGCTAGAAAGAGCAGGTCTTCACATGAGGAGCTGAGCTGAGAGCGGACTACAGGCAGAGGTGCTGCAGCCAGAAAGATCGTGTTGATGAGCTAACTTGATTTCACTTGGACAGTCACTGCTCCTCGCTCACCACTTCAGTCGTCTGTGGATGCCCTGCTGTTAATGAGTGGAAGAGAAAATCTAGAACATACGAGGTGTATTAAAGAGACAGGACTACGAGGAGGCTAGGAAGATAATTTTCTTAGTCATTTAACTTTTATAAGACAGGGACAGCTGTTTTTAAATTCCAGACCCTAGAATTGCTAGAAACACTATACTCAGCAAGTCCAACCCAGTGTTTGGTATGAGGAATAAAAAGCATTCTGTTCTGTTTCATTAGTTGGTAGAGCATTCTAGGGCTGGACTTGAGAGTCTGACAGCTTTCTTTTACAGAGAATCACATATGCAGAGATATGGTAGGACTGACAAGAAGGACAGGAAACAGCACGTCCTAAGTTTTTAGAGTTAGTGCCCCCAACTTAAAACTTCCATCCAGTGAGTCAACTGTGTTCTTTCTGTCTTAGATTCACTTGACCTACAGAGAGCAAAGGAACATAATCAGAGGCTGGATGAGGAAATACTGGCTTTAAGAAATCGGGTTAGATCACTTGACTCAGAAAAAAAAGTGCTTGGAGAAGAGGTAAGCTGTTTAATTTAGTTTGTTCTTAGAATTTATTTAAATGTGTATAGAGTAACAGTCAGCAGCGAGAGCAACCTAGATGGACATCATCTGTTGGTCATTAGTGAGGACTGACACTGGTGGCTCTAACATCCAAGGCAGAAGACCAGGATGCTTTCTGTCAGTATTTCTGTTTTATATGTTTTAATTACTTATGCTAAACAATAATGTTATTGCTATTGTACCAACTTGGGATCTTTTCTTCTTAATAAGGATGTAAGGAATAGTTTATGCTTAACCCATTTACCAAATAGAAATTATTAGTCTATTATATTGGATAACTTTAAGATTATTAATACTAAACCCTTAACTGTGTTGTTTTCGAACTGTATCTTCTTAGGAATTTATTGGAATTCTTAGAAATTTATTATTATTATTTTAATATGTATTTCTAAGTTCTAGAAATACTCTATTTCACTTCAATTTTAGTTAGATTTATTTCACAATCATATCTCTAGTGTCTAATACAATAACTGAGGGCTCAAGAAATTTTGTTGCAAGAATGAATAAACATTTATTAAGATGGCTATTATCCAAAGAATAAAAAAGTAACAAATTTTGATGAGGATGTGGAGAAGTTGGAACCCTTTGTGCATTGTTGTTAAGAATGTAAAATGACTGTGCCACTGACTTGCTGTGTGACCCTGGGCAAGTCATTTAACTATAATATGCCTCAGTTTTCCATCTATTAAAATGGAATAATAATACTGACCTACCTCAAAGGGCAGTTTTGAGGCGTGACTAATGCTTTTCATAAAGCACTTTGGGATCCTTCAGCAGAGGAATTCTCTTATGTCCTGAGTATTTTTATAGTAGCAGTATCCACCATGAACCATGTCTGCCATGAACCATGTGTCCATATGGTTCTCTCTGAGTGAAAGAGTATAAGCCCATTAGATAAGTGGTGGATAACTAGCCAGATAAAATTTGAGAATGCAAAAACTCATTACCATGGAAACATACACAGGATCTACCTTTTCCTTGATTGGGTGGGATTTTTCCCTTTTTGTGTGGGATAGTAGTTATTTGTGACCTAAGAATAATTTTGGAATAATTTCTATTAATATCAACTCTGAAGCTAGTTGTACTGATCTGAGGTTGTGTTTGTTCATAATAAAAGTGAAGTGAATCTGAAAAAAAGAATTTAAAATGGAGCAGCCACTGTGGAAAACAATATAGTACTTCCTAAAAAAAGTAAACATAGAGTTACCATAAGCAATTCTGCTTCTGGGTATATACTCAAAAGAAATGAAAGCAGGGACTCTAACAGATATTTGGTCACTCATATTCCTAGCAATGGTATTTACAATGGCCAAAAGGTGGAAGCAACCCAAGTATCCATTGATAGATGAATAGATAAACAAAATGTGGTATATACATACAATGGAATATTATTCAGCCTTAAAAACAAAGGAAGTCCAACATATGCTAGCTACAACATGGGAGAAACTTGAAGACATCATGTTAATTGAAATAAGTCACAAGAAGACAGATAGTATATAATTCCATTTATATGAATACCTAGAGTGGTCAGAAATCACAGAGACAGAAAGTAGAATGGTGGTTTCTAGGGGCTAGGGGAAGGGCAGAATGAGGAGTTATTGTTTAATGGGTATAGAGTTTCAGTTTTGCAAGACGAAAAGAGTTCTGGAGATGAATGGTGGTGACAGTTACACCAGAGTGTGCATGTGCTTAGTGCTACTGAACTGTATACTTAAAAATGGTTAAAATGATAAATTTTGCCTTATGTATATTTTATCCTGATATAAAGATGCAATCGTAAGAAAGAATGAGCAAACACCCTTCAAGTTATCTAAATCTCTGTAAATTTATGTATTTAATATTGATAAAGTATGCTTAATATATATTAAACACACACACACGTGCGCGCGCGCACACACACACACACGTGAAATAAAGTTCAGGAAGGGTATATCCCAAACATTACTTCTAGAGAGGAAAATAGTATTGTGGGGTAAGGTTATATGAAGGAAGATATCATTTTTTAACTCTATGTACTTGTATGTTGTTTAAATTTTTTGCGCACAGGATATACTACTTTTATATATTTAAAGCAAAGCAACCACCCCTCACTTTTATATTTAAAATACCTTTGTATTTAAGGTTGAAAGGCTTAAAGGAGAAATTTGTGAATATCAAGAGAACAAGCAACTGGGAAACCACTCTCCTGGAAAAACTGTGGGTGCTGAACAGAAAGTAGAGGTATTAGAGTTCTGATCTTTCTGATTTCTAATTTTTTAGTGAGTTGCATTCAAAGAGTACATCAGAGCATTTGGTGCTGATCACTTGCTACTTTCTTCTTATTGCCTGCCTTTTTCTACTGCTTTGCTAATGAGTGTGGAGGAAGAAATTGGGGTACAGAGGATATGTTTCTGTTCACTTCTTCCCCACAGGAAACAATTAATATAAAAAATATAATGGGTTGTTTCTTTGAAGAAAAAAGAATCTTACAAAGATACAACCAATTTAGGCATTTTTTTATCATCAAAATGAAGGTGATTTAAAGAATCAACCAGTAATGGGGGGGTGGGTAGGTAGTTGGAACCACACTGAGTATAATGAAATACCATAGAGAACTAACAAGGTTTAGGCTCCAGTGTATGCAGCGTCTAGTCTTTTCAGCATGATCAGCCTCTGAAGTGATCAAACACAAGGCAGATTGAAGCAAGAGCCAGCGTGCTGTAGACAAGGCAATTTTGGACATTCCGCCCAAGGAGCTAGACTGCTTTGCCTTTCCTCTCACTTACCTAAGATGAGTGCCACTCCTCGCTGCTGAGGGAGCTCGTTCATCAGAGCTTGTCCTTATTGTAACTCCGTGGCCCTATACCCCAGACCTCTTAGATACCAAAGAAACTGTAGCCACCAGCTTTCTTGGCTCCCCACCCAAAGAGCCGGTATCCTTCCTGTCTTCCAAAACCCTCTTACAGGTAAATAATGCATTTTGTAGAAGGAAGGAAGGAAGGGAAAGTGGGAAGGAGAGAAGACAGGAAGGAAAGAAGGAAGGAAGGCAAAGGAGTGGGAGGGAGGAAAGAAAAAGAAGAGGGAGGAAAGAAAGAATTTCCAGGCAAGACTTGAGTAACTTTACCCAAAATTATTCCCAAAGAACCCAATGGAGCTCTAATTTAAAGAAGTTAACTTATTAGTAGCCATTTTTATTAGTTTCTTATTTATCCTTCCACTATTTCTTTATTCAAATAGAAGCATTTTGAATATTTATTCAGATTTCCTCCTTTATTCATTTCTTTTCTTTCTTCTCTCTTTTTCTTTTCTTTTTTCTTCTTTTTTTTCACTAAAATGGCTCTTGGAGATCCTTACGTATCATGCAAAGAGATCTACCTCATTCTTTAGAGCAGCGAGCATTCTGTTGTGTGTATGTACTATAATTTATTTAACCAGTTTCCTGTTGATGGACACTTGGGTTGTTTCCAGTCTTTTGCATATTGATGCAAGTGTTCCTGTAGGATAGAGTCACAGAAATGGGGTTGTGAGTTTAGAGGGTAGATGCATCTGCAATTTTGGTAGATGTTGCTGGATACTACTCTGTGGAAATTCTATCATTTTCCTTTTCCATCAGCAATGTATGAGAAAGCTAGTTTCCTAATACAGAAATGAGTATCTCAGTGTAGTTGTAGTTTTCAATCATCTGTTTGTAGTGAGATTGAACATTTTTCAGTTGTTCAAAAGTCACTTGTATTTCTTTTATAAAATTAGCTTTGCTGAAATATTTAATACAATATAAACATACATATTTTAAGAGTTGAGTTCACTGAGCTTTGACAAATGTTTACATCTGTATAACCACAACCACTGGAATCAAGAAAGAAAACATATTTATTAACCTGAACATTTCCCTTCCGTTTTGCTATCAGTCCTCCCACTCCATCACTTTCTATTGCCACACTATTTCTAGAATTTCAAATAAATAGGGTCATTTAGTATATACTCTTTTGTGTTTGGCTTGTTTCACTTATAACGCTTTTGAGATTTATCCATGTTGTTGCCTGTATCAGTAGCTCATTTTTATATTGCTGAGTAACATTCCTGTGTATATGGATATACCACAAATTATTTATTAACTGACTAGTTAGTAGACAATCAGGTTGTTTACAGGTTTTGACTATTATGAATACAGCTGCTACTAGTATTCACGTACCAGTCTTTGGGTTTTTTTTTTTCCTCTTGGATAAATACCTAGCATTGGAATTACTGAGTTGTCAAGTGGGTGCACATTTAATTTTATGAGAAACTGCCAGACTGTTTTCTACTTTGTAGATGTTATGAATAATGCTGCTATGAACATTCATGTAGAAATTTTTGTATGAACATGTTTTCAGTTTTCTTGGCTATGTACATAGGAGTGGAATTGCTAGGTCATATGTTAATTCTGTGTTTAACGTTTTGTAGAACTACAAGACTATTTTCTTCTTTTTTTTTTTTCAGGGGGAAGTAATTAGATATATTTACTTATTTGGTTTTTCGGTGGGGGTACTGGGGATTGAACCCACGACCTCATGCATGCTAAGCATGTACTCTACCACTTGAGCGATACCCTCCCCCTACTACCAGACTATTTTCCAAAGCAGCTGCACCATTTAAAATTCCCATCAGCAATGTATGAGAGTTCCAATTTCTCCACATCTTTACCAATATTTGTTATATTTTGTGTTTTTTAATATAGCCATCCTTGTGGGTATGGAGTAGTATCTCGGTATAGTTTTGCATTGCGTTTCCCGAATAAGTAATGATATTGAGCATCTTTTCATATGCTTACTGGGCATTTCTAGAGCTTGTCATTACTTGCACAGATCCATGTTTCCATCTGGTCCCGTACTTCTTCAGCCTGAAGAACCTGATTAACATTTCATCTAGTGCAGATCTACTACTGATAAACTCTCTGGTTTTGTTTGTCTGCAAAAGTGTTTTACTTAATTTTTTTTCAAATTTGTTTTTCTTTACTGTGGTATGATATACACAACAGAAAATTTACCATGTTAACTATTTTTAAGTGTATGTGATAATAAGCTCATTCATATTGTTGTGCAACCATTACCACCATCCACCTCTAGAACTCTCTGCATCTTGCAAAACTGAAACTCTATACCAGCTAAACAATAAGTCCTCATTCTGCCCTTCCCTCCCAGCCCTGGCAACCACCTTTCTAGCTCTATGATTTTGACTACTCTAGGTTCCTCATGTAAGTGGAATTGTACACTATTTGTCTTTTGGGGGTTTGCTTATTTCAGTTAGCATAATGTCTTCAGATTACATCTATATTGTAGCATATATCAGAAATTCCTTCCTCTTTAGGACAGGATAATATTCCATTGTATGTATATGTCACATTTTATTTATCTATTCATTTACCATTGGACACTTGGGTTGCTTTCACATTTCAGCTATTGTGAACAATGCTACTATGAACATGAGTATACAAATATCTGTTCAGGTCCCTGCTTTCAGTTCTTTTGGGTATATACCTAGATATGGAATTGCTGGGTCATATGATAATTCTGTTTAATTTTGTAAAGAATCACCACACCATTTTCCACAATGACTCTACCATCTTACACCCCCACCAACAGGGCACAAATGTTCCAGTTTCTCCACGTTATCATCAACACTTTTTACTGTCTTTTATTTGATGGTAGCTATCCTAATGGGTGTGAGGTGGTATCTCATTGTGGTCTTGGTCTGTACTGCCCTAATAATTAGTGATGTTGAGCATCTTTTCATGCGCTCGTTGAGCACTCATGTATCTTCTTTGGAGAAATATGTATTCATGTCCTTTGCCCATTTTAAAATTAGATTGTGTTTTTACATTGATGAGTTTTAAGAATTCTCTCTATGTTCTACTTATATTAATCCCTTATCAGATATATAACTTGTAAGTATTTTTCGCATTCTGTAATTTGTCTTTCACTCTGTTAATGCTTTCCTTTGATGCACAAAAAATTTAGTTTTCATGAAGCCTAGTTTGTCTGTTTTTTTCTTTCATTGCCTGTGCCTTTGATGTCATATCTAAGAAATCACTATCAAATCCAATGTTATGAAGCCTTTCCCCTATGTTTTCCTCTATTAGTTTTATAGTTTTTGGTCTTACATTTAAGTTGTTGATCCATTTTGAGTTAATTTTTACATATGCTGTTAGATAAGGGTTCAACTTCATTCTTTTGCATATGAATGTTATCCCAGCATCATTGTTGAAAAAACAGCCCTTTTCTTATTGAATGGCCTTGGCACACTTAACAAAAATCATTTGATCATATAACAAAGGTTTATTTCTGGCTTCTGTATTCTATTCCTTTGGTCTATATGTCTGTCTTTATGCCAATAACACACTCTTTTGACTGCTGTAGCTTTGTAGTAGATTTTAAAATCAGAAGATGGGACTCCATCAGCTTTGTTCTTCTTTTTCAATATAGTTTTGGCTATTTGGCATCCCTTGAGATTACATATGAATTGTAGGATAGAGTTTTTTTATTTATGCAAAAAAAGTCATTGGGATTTTAATAGAGATCACATTGAATCTGTAGAGCATCACTTTGGGTAGTATTGACATCTTAACAATATTAAGTCGTCACTTTGGGTAGTGACATCTTAACAGTATTAAGTACATCCATGAACGTGGGATATATTTTTATTTGTGTGTCTTCTTTAATTTCTTTCAACAGTGTTTTGTAGTTTTCATTGTATAAGTCTTTGGCCTCTTTTGTAAGTTAATTCCTAAGTATTTTATTCTTTTTGATGCTACTGTAAATGGAACTGTTTTTGTAATTTCCTTTTCCGATCATTCATTGTTAGTGCCACATTGTTAGAAGTGTCACTGATTTTTCTGTGTTGACTTTGTATCATCTGTAAACAGATAATTTTACTCTTTTCTTTCTGATTTGGATGCCTTTTTTTCATTTCTTGCTTAATTGTTCTGGCTAGTTCCACTACTGTGTTGAATAGAAATGGTGAAAGTAGACATCCTTGCATTGTTCCTGATCTTAGAGGAAAAGACTTGAGTCTTTGACCATTGAGTATGACATTCATTAATGGCTTTTCATGTATCTTTTATTATGTTGAAGTACTTTCCTTCTATTCCTAGTTTCTTGGGTGTTTTGTAATCATGAAAGAGTGTTGACTTTTGTCAAATGCTTTTGCAGCATCAATTGAAATGATCATTATTTTTCTTTATTCTCTTAATGTGTTGTATTACA